CCACCAGCTTTCTACCCCAAAATTGATGTGATCGAAGTTTATGCTCTTAACTATTTTGATAGTGTGGTGTCTGAAAGAGCTACATCTGCAATGAACTCTGCATTCACAATCGATTTATCGATTTTATGAAACTCTTTTATAAACCAAACATTTCCAAAATTAAGCAAACCATACTCTAAAGTTCTACAAGGTAGGTAAACAGAATTTGTAAATATAAATTTAAACGGCAAATTCCTTGCCATATAGAGGAATTTTTTTATTAACTCTGTCATATCCTTGAACTGTCGTTGTTTATTGATTAAGCATCCTTAACATTTTCATGTTCTATTAAGGTCAACTGTGTACAAAAGTGTAGATATGGCCGTAGGAATGCTGTAGGGAGCTATCACTCCCGTAAATCACTCACAAATTACAAGGTGGACGTATTAGTTAATGTGCAACTGTCTGGTCTGAAGGAGGGAATATGCACTTTTAGATACACACACTTCCGTACAACATAAATGGATTGAAGGAGGAGTGGGCTGTGTAATTTGGAAGATCATTTTCAAGATTGAAGATCGACAACATTTTCAGGGAAGCCATATTGTTGGACGAACCGATTCTCTCGAGAACACATGTTACTCTCCTCGAAGAAGTTTTGTATCCCCATGTCGCCTTGTTGAGATAGCATGCATTCTGGGACTCGTGGCTGGAAGTATGAAACAGGTGTAATGCATCTAGGTGTGGAATGGTTGACCGTTACTGCATCGGTGTTGCTTAACCGAAGAGAGGATGCCATGTGACTCATTGATGGTAGGACCGCAACGTCTAATGGCATTCCACCATAGTTACCTCCATTGAAATCACTAGAAGTAACATCATTACCATTGGGGTTTCCACCGCCCTCCATTCCGTAGTTATAATAGCATGGCTCATTTGCATTAACATCCGGTCCTCGACTCCAATCACGATAAGCAGCATCCTGCTCAAAATCATTAGCGAGAGCCATTGGTGGAAAGATTGGAGGGTGAGTATTTGAAGATGAATGATGTTGAGCCTGTTGTTCCGCTGTTGACGAAAGCTGATTGTTCGGATCGGTTGAGTACTGCGGTGACTCTTGAACACTAGCATATTCAACAACTAGAGACTGCATTTGAGGGTCTGGAGGATTGAAAAACTTTACTGGAGTGGTGCTCGACTCTGAGTAAGAAGAGTACTCGTAAGGCAAGCATTGGTTATGGTCATTTTGGTAGCAACAAGGGTCCGGCACACCATCGAAGTAAGATTTATTTGGCGTGTCAAATGAATAAGTGTTGTCCAGCGGTTTCTCTTGAGGTTTTGGTCTATATGGCAGCAGAGGGGAATCAGCGTAAGGAGGAGATTCATACGAATTGCTCTGAGCGGGAATTGAAGGCGCAGTGAACTTTTGGTTAAGCTTTGCAGTGTGGTAAAGAGAATTCGAATTTAGCGGAGTCATTCGATTTCCATGATGAACAAGGCCAGATTGTTTTCCACGCATTTGGGGGGAATGGTGGGGCTTTTGTTTTCGCCGAGGTCTATACTTGTAATCAGGGTAGTCTTCCATATGACGGGCTCTAAGAATACTGGCCTCTTCTACATAAGGCTGTTTATCAGCTTCTGAAAGGGCCTTCCACATTGATCCTAACCGTTTGCTTATTTCAGAATTGTGCATTTTGGGATTCTCTAGTCCCATTTGCCGTCTTTGGGATCTGGACCAAACCATGAAGGCGTTCATCGGACGCTTCACGCGTCCAACTTTTGTTGTCGTTGTCCCACTATCAGAACTCTCACGGCTGGAATTTTTCGAAATCCTTGAATCATTTTCGGGAAATTTGTGAAAATCTCCTCGTTTATTTTGAAGAATAGTCTGCGATTTTGGAGCCGAAGTGTTCTTGAAAATTAACAGAAAAACGGCATAAGTTAATCTCATTAGAAGTAAAAATTTAAAAGCAACCATTTTTTAGCTGATTTTTGTTTTCTAATAAAATATTGTTCATAACTTGGCATTTAATGTGGTATAAGTGTCTGCTTAATGTGGAAACGAAAATTGATAAACATTTGATTAAAGGAATTCTTTAATATTATCTTTATAACCTGAAATCATAGTAGTTGTTGAAAACTGTGCAATGCAAACCTTCAATTCCTTTGATGATCACTTAGTTGGTGGAACTAAATTTTGGTGAACTAAATTAGGAAAGTTAAAAGTTAGTCTCCCGATCCTTTCATTGTGACAAATGTTTTACTCAATTATTTTAAACTTAAATGATGTTGAAGTCACATCTCTATGAGCGGTGAGCAAAGTTGGTGAAGGAATGTGGAATGGTAAATACCTGCTCAATTATGCCGCATATACGCACTACAGCATTAAGCAACCACGAACCAAAATCTAACGAAATGCACGCATGCAGTTGGATTTATATTTGAATATATGGGGTGTGCGATAGACTTACTTCCACGTGGTGCACCCTGGGCAACGTATATTCATACAGCAAAAAAGTCTATTGACTGGCAGTTGACTTCTCACTTCGAACTACCATCACCTCACTCAATGCCATATTCGACTATTTCCACAGTACTCACCTCACCTTTGTTCTACCTTTGTGTTTGTCTCTTACATCTTTGAAAC